TCATCGCAAATTTTGCATAAAACGAAACAAACAATTTCCGTTTAGCGGTCGTTTTTTGAAAATGATCCAGCTGTTCAATGAGCAATTTCCCCGCCAAAAATTTAAGCGCCCGTACACGAGAACCACGCGTACCTGGGGGCTGAATTTGAAACCTTTAAGATGTATCTGGACGGGGAATATTCTCCTGAAATTTTAGCTTTCCAGCTTTTCTGGTTCCCGAGTTGACAATTCTCCCGCCAAAACTTTCACAGGGCCGCACGCAACCTGGGAGCATACCTGGAGGCCGGGTTTGGAATTTTTAAGTTTTATATAGGCTGGGAACATCCCCTGCAAATTTCAGCCTCCCAGCTTTCCTGGTTCCCAAGCTAGCAATTTTTTCGTCAAAAACTTTCTCGGAGTCGCACGTGAGAATCACGCATGCCTAGGGGTTGAATTTGAATTTTAAGTTGTACATGGGGTGGGAACATCCTCTTAAAATTTTAGCCTTCTGGTTTTCCTCGTTCCCGAGTTAGCAATTTTTTAGCCAAAATCCCTACGCGCTCGCACGTGGGGCCCGGGCTTGCGTGAGGGCAGGTACCATGGTCCTGAGGTGGTATTTGGCCGGGGAATCAACTGGCAAAATTTTGGTGCCGGAGCATGCCTGGTTGCCGAGTTGAAATACCCGGAGAGACGAACACACACAGACAGGGTCGTCGCAATATGCGTTTTTGCAACTTGCATACATGCAAAAGCGCATAATCAGCATAAACAAGTGAAATGAGTTATAAAATTGTAAATGTTACGACAAGTAAAAATTTTTTTGGCTGCTTACAGCGCTTCCTTTTCTATCTGGCGCTACTCCTTCGTCTGGTCGGCTGTGAAAAACAACCGAAGGGCCTGGCTAAGCTAGTGGTTACTAGAGCGAAGGAAGTGAGAATATTTTAATCATAAATCACATGAATTCGGAAAATAAGCGTTGTCAGTGAGTGTAATGAGAACAATATACCTTGTATTCATCTGGGCACCACGGCCAATACTCCGCTTCCAACAATTTCAAAATATTGGTCAGAGTCTCATCTACGCGGCGTTTTATCTCGTTCAGCACATCTGCACGCCGAGTTTCCACCTTGCACCCATTCGAAGAAACTATAAATAATAAAATGGGCTTCGTGCCAAATTTGTGCCTATTTTGCTCGTGCCATATTTCGAACGAAAACGAACTAGAATTCGCCTTGTAGGTTCCGCATACAGCCGAAACAAGAAGTTTTAGCTTAGTCCGCGCCAAAAAGAGCAAACCAGACGGCTGTACAACTGTACATTTTTTGAATTAGTTCACAACGGCGATCAACGGTTGGATGCAATGACGGTCAAGATGAGTGGACAGTCATGAGAAAGCCTAATTTTGCTAATTCTAAAACAAA